TATATTCAATAAGTCATCCTATTCAAAAAACAATATTAATGAAATAAAAACAAAAACAGGACAGAAAACAGACAATATTCAGCAAATATGTGATGAGTTCATAGAATTTTTCACGAATATAGGAGGAAACTTAGCAAATAATATCAAACAAAATGCTGATATTCATCTGCATGAAACAAGACTGAATAATTCATTTGTATTAACTGAAGTAGACTATCAGGATGTTTTCAATGCCATTATGACTCTAAAAAATAAAAAAAGCCCTGGAGTTGACGAAATTAGAGCTGAACATCTAAAGATACTGGCCAAACAAATAACAGAACCACTTGCTTATATCATTAACAAATCCTTCCAATCTGGAGTATTTCCATCAGCTTTCAAGACAGCAATCATCATACCTATCTATAAATCTAATGATAATACGGACGTCACTAACTATCGACCTATTTCACTTATATCAAGTTTAGCTAAAGTTTTTGAGAAATTACTCCTTAATAAAATGATTAATTTTCTTAATAAATTCAAAATTCTAAATTCAAATCAATATGGTTTTATAGCGGGCAAATCTACAACAGATGGGGTATTAAGTATAGTAGATGAAATAACCCAAAATATAGATGGAAAAGTACCATCGATATGCGTATTTGTGGACTTACAAAAAGCGTTTGACACAGTTAACCACAATATACTTTTGGAAATCTTAGAAAGAATAGGTTTTCGTGGAAAGATGTATACTTTAATGGAAAATTATTTATCAAATAGACCGCAATCAGTAAAATTATTAAGCTCGTATAGTAAAGAAATGTTTGTTAAATGTGGTGTTCCACAAGGTACAATTTTGGGTCCTCTGTTATTCAATATTTATTTAAACGATATATTCAAAATTAACAGTACTGGTAAAATAGTCAGTTTTGCAGACGATACTGCTATACTCTATAAAGGTAAGGATTGGAACGACTTAAAAGATATTATCCAAAATGACTTTTGCAAAATTATTCAGTGGTTTAATAACCGAAAATTAACAATTAACTTTACTAAAACTCATTTTTTACCATTTTCATCACTATCTAATCATCTACCAAAATATAACCACCTTCGGTTTAAGGTAAATGATAAAAATATAAAAATCAATAGAGTTAATGATACAAAATATTTAGGAATTTATCTAGATCCCCACTTGAGATGGGATGTACATATTTCTCACATACTAAAGAAAATTAGATTCATAGCATATAAAATAAAATTTCTAACCGGTATATTAACTGAATATTATCTACGAATAATATATCAAGCTTTAGTCGAGCCACACATAACATATGGTATAGTAGTGTGGGGTGCTGCATGCACGACATACTTTAACGATTTAGATGTACTTCAAAGAAGAATTTTAAAATCAATGTTAGGCAAATCAAAATTATACCCAACTAATGACTTATATAATGATGCACAAGTATATGATACTAAACAACTTTACTTCTTACATACCATCACTCATTATCACAAAACTATTAGTGAACACGACATAATTAAACATAATCATAAAACCAGATATAAATTACGCGCAAAAAATGTTCCTAAACCAAACAAATCCCTAATGAAACGATGTCACCTGTATATAGCTCCAAAATTGTACGAACATTTACCAAATAATTTAAAACAATTACGCAATACATTAGGCTTCAAAAAAAAATTAAAAAAATTTATTAACACGATTGGGAGAAATCAAATTAATAAAATAATCTCAAATATTACACAATAAATGCTCTACCATTCTTACCAATAATTTCTTTTTTCTCTCTATTTTATTATATTTTGCAATTCAACATACATATGATCCATGCACAGGCGTTGTCCTCCTATGGATATATTATATTTATTTACTCGTTTCATGTTCCCTGTATTTTAGAGTAAATAAATATTATTATTATTATTATTATTATTATTATTATTATTGCAAATGAATGGTTTGCAGAACACGGAAGACCTATTGGCATGCGAAGTGTTTACCGATGAATGAGAAGTTTTGGCTTGTTTTCATACCGGCCACACTGGGTCCTCCCTTTAACTCGAGAACACCGACGTAATCGCCTTGAGTGGTGCAGACAACGGTCACTCTGGGATCAGGAATGGAACAGTATTGTATTTAGTGACGAGTGTCGATTTTGTTTAGGCATGCACGATGGTCGTGCCAGGGTTAGAAGGCGACGTGGTGAAAGGAGGAATCCACAGTTTTTTGTTGAAAGACATGTTCATCACACTGTTGGAGTTATGCTTTGGGGTGCTATAGCTTATGGTTCCAGGTCACCTTTAATATTCATTAGAGGTAACATGAACGCGCAGCGTTATATCCACGAAGTTCTAGAACCCCATCTTTTACCCTATCTTGACACCCTGGCAGATCCAAGTTTCTAACAAGATAATGCCCGACCACATGTTGCAAGAGTCACAATAGACTTCTTTCAACATAATGATGTCACATTGTTACCATGGCCACCAAGATCTCCCGACTTATCCCCAATTGAGTACGTGTGGGATATGATGGGTAGGAGATTGCTCAATTTGCAACGTCCTCCTCAGACTCTAGAAGCACTCCGAGAGGAGTTGGTGGTTGCCTGGAATGAGATACCACAGGAGGACATTGACCAACTGATCACAAGCATGCCTAGGCGCGTTGGAGAATGCGTAGCACATCAGGGTGCATCCACTCATTATTAAAGGTCAAAGGGCTTTAAAGCAGTGCAATCATTTTGAAATTTTTATCATTTACTTATTATGCTTCATTAAGTACTTATACAAAATTTTATTAAAATAAAACCATTTAAACTGGGTGTTCGGATTTATATGTCACTTAGTATAGTTAAAGAGAATTATAAAATCTGGTGGAAAATCGTAAAAAAACCATAACTCCAACAGTGTGATGAACATGTCTTTCAACAAAAAACTGTGGATTTCTCCTTTCACCACGTCGCCTTCTAACCCTGGCACGACCATCGTGCATGCCTAAACAAAATCGAGACTCGTCACTAAAGACAATACTGTTCCATTCCTGATCCCAGAGTGACCGTTGTCTGCACCACTCAAGGCGATTACGTCGGTGTTCTCGAGTTAAAGGGAGGACCCAGTGTGGCCGGTATGAAAACAAGCCAAAACTTCTCATTCGTCGGTAAATACTTCGCATGCCAATAGGTCTTCCGTGTTCTGTAAACCATTCATTTGCAATGGACCTGGTAGTGGAGAAACGGTCCCTTAAGGCCAATAATCTTAGGCGGCGATCTTCACGGTCTGTTGTTCTACGGTGGCGACCAGTGCCCCTTGCTCTTTGCGTACGGCCTTCTCGAAGCCATGCCTGACAACACCTAACCACAGTGTCTACACTTCTTTGCACTCTAACTGCAATTGCCCGAAAAGAATGTCCAGCTTCCCGAAGTCCCACTATACGGCCCCTATCAAACTCACTAAGTTGACGAAATCGTACAGGTATCCGTACTCTAGGCATCGTAACCAATCGTAAAGGATGTCAAGAACCAAAATCCGCCAACGTTGATTCTCTACTGCGGCTGAAATATTGATTTTTAGAGCGTTAGTGAATTAAAAAAAAAAGCAGTATAAAAACCGGAATGTCCAACTGATAAGGCTGACAATTTTTTCACTTGTTATTTACAGTAAGATAAATACATTCACCAACTTTTATTAAAATAAAACCATTTAAACTGGGTGTTCGGATTTATATGTCACTTAGTATATATATAATACCTTGCAGCAAGTGTATAATATATTTGCTGGATGGTATGAAAAATATTTGTGAAAAGTTTGAATACTGACATTCCCTATTTAATAGTTACTATAAGTCGTGCAGTTATTAGATTCGAAGATATTTGTTCAAAGTTCTAATAAATTCCATATGTTTTCTGTGAAACTGCATATTTTGTCAGAAAAATCGAAATATCTCAAAATCTACTCAGAAAAGTGACTGGCCCTGTTTGCAACAATATATTCACCAGATTATCTGTCCTAAATACCCGAATTTCTAGACATTTGACTTGAAAACTATATTAAACAAAATATGTCCAAAAGTTACCCAATTTCTGTATATTCACCCATCTACATGATTTTCGGACTTTCGGTTGATTAATCGGACATAATGCTCTGTATCTAAAGCGTTTTTCAATAGGGACCCCAAAGTTGATCAAATTCGGTGCATTGGTTGCTGAGATTACTCAGTGGGGACATAGCACTGACTGACAAAGTATAGGAAATAAAAGACATGACGTGGGAAGTCGGATCTATTTCGTGGTTAAGATACCAAGAATGCGGTTATCATTGGGAATTCTTTTTTCGGTAGGATCTGATAATCGCCGAAGCTATTAAGTATAAAATTCATCTGCAATATATCATTTTATGCTCCTAATTAGTGACAATCTTGTCGAGAATTTGATAATTATCATCAATTTATACGGCTTTGACGACACTCAAAGAAGCCGAACGATTATAATGCATAAGCCTGATTAAAAATAAAAAATATTCGTCAGGATATTGCCACAACATAATAGCTGTGATAGTTATATTTTTAGAATATGTTGGAAAGAATGTAATTATATCAAATGGGGCAGAGATATAATACGTACACGAGAAGCAACCAGATAACATACTAAATAAGCTTTTTCAAAACATCAGCATTTTTATAGTTTTATATGTAAAAATGTTCTGATTCAGTTTCATGCACAATCATGTTCAATTTCCATTTTAACGAATCTGCATGCTGGCAAGCCCAAAATTTCGTCAAAAATTGTTTAAGCCAATTAAAAACAAAATGCTTTCCGAGGTTTTTTGAGTCATCCTGAAGAAAAAGGGTTCCTATAAACTTTTCTCTTAACAAACCAAATCCGAACTCATTTCACATGTATCTCGAACTGGAAAGACGTATTATAAGGCCCGGCGCATATTGAACCCATGCCACGCGTAGCACACGCACAGCCCACGTTACGTACAGACCCAGCCTAGCCCATGTTTCGCGTTCGGAAGCGCATATTGAACCCATCCCATGTCCAGTCCACTTCCACGATGGCAGCGAATATCTGTCAGCTCCTCGATCTAGAGTCTGAGTCGGAAGACGAGGAAAGATCTATTTTAATGTATCTATTTAATCGAAGAAGAACAAAAAGCGAGAAAAATGCGTATCTGCGAAAAGACAAAGTCATAGAGAGTTCAACTTATCTAGAGAAGTTCCAGACAGCATATTCAAAGAGACATTTAGAGTGAACAGAACACAGTTCAACGAAATCCATGAATTGATAAAGAACGATATTACGGGTAAAGAGTGCAATGCACAAAAACCTATTGGAAGTGAAGAAAAAGTAGCCGTATGTCTAAGGTAATTTTATTCAGAAAATATTTTATGTTATCAAGATATAAATTATGCATTTACAAAGTAAGGAATGCTCTTGGTAAATTATCTTCTTCTTCCCCAATGTTTGTTTCTAGATCCTCTTCATTTGCTTCTACAGGACGAATCAATGATGGATTCTGATGTAGAGTAAAGAATTCAGGGTATTGTTGTGTCACCACAGATAGTCCACTAGTACTGGAGGTTGATGAATGAATTCTCTGATTCTCTATCTCTTGCTCAGCATCATCTTCTGCTTGTGAGACGACATCAAAAACTTTTCTTCTGACTTGCCTTTGAAATTTGGTAGGAAGATTTTTTGTTACATTGTACATTGTCATAAAAAAAAGATGTAGAGCATCATTTTGTAACACTGCTTCTTGCTGAGATTAAGCTATTAGTTTTTGACGTAATTCTTCCCGACTCTTAGCTCTTTTCTCACCATCTTCGATGTATTTTCTCAATAGAGGATCACCAGATTTTTTCGCTTTTTTTGAAGTGGGTGTATCCATGGATTAATCTGTTTCAAAATTTGATTGAACACTTGGTGGATCAGCAGAGAGTACATCTTCTTCTTCTTCTACCTGGCTGTCATCAGGAGCTGAGGTGCTGGGACATCCAGCAGTGAGTCTGTTTTTCATGTATGGTTTTAAAAACTCCATTTGTTTTTGATAGGTCCATGGTTTCGTAGTGGTTGTTTGTTGTCCACTTTTCTTTTGTTGCCTTCGGATAGCTTCACGACACTCTCTTAGCTTCCGCCATTGTTCTTTAGCATCCTTGCCTGTAACAGAATAAGCAATAAATTGATAAACAATAAAAATGGCATCTGATCTTTCTTCGTTTTTCAGCCTTAAAGTAGATTTTTTTCAGGTATTTGGCCACTGGTGACATGTATAAAACTATAGGACTGAGCTATAGAATGGGACAGAGAACCGTATCGAACATTGTTTGTCAAGTCTGTGAAGCGATATGGCGACGTTTACAGCCCATTTATATGCCCGAACCAACGGTGGAAATTTGGAAGAACATTGCATTAGAGTATGAAAGAAAATGGCAGTTTTATAACTGTTTAGGAGCTGTCGATGGGAAGCATGTCGCCATTCGAAAACCACTTCTGAGTGGCTCTTCTTTCTTCAACTACAAACAATATTTTTCTGTTGTTTTAATGGCGACTGTCGATGCAAATTATCGTTTTACTTCTGTGAATGTAGGTTCTATGGGTCGGTTTAGTGACGGAAATATTTTTGCCAATTCTCCTTTAGGAAAAATGTTATACAACGGTTCACTGGATTTGCCAGAACCAAAGCCTTTACCTGGACAAAATACACCAACTCCATATGTATTTGTTGGAGACGAAGCGTTCCCGCTAATGAGAAATTTAATGCGTCCATATCCTAAAGCGAGAGTTGCTGGTAGTTATCAAAACAAGGTTTTTAATTATAGTCTATCTCGGGCTAGACAAACAGTAGAAAGTGTCTTCGGTATATTAGCAGCTAGATTCCGGGTGTACAAGAGCCCATTTGAATGTAAATTGGATACCATCGATAAAATAGTGCTAGCCACAATTGGGCTTCATAATTATTTGAGAACTAAGATTCTCTCGATTGCCACTGGCCAGGAAGAAAATGATGAAGTGTTGACTAATTCTCATGAAAATCATTTCATTCCTTTAGCACTAAACCGAACTCGCAATTCTACTGAAGCATTTAATATTAGGCAGAAGTTTACTGAGTGTTTCAATTCTGCAGTTGGATCTGTTGAATGGCAACGAAGAGCGATAGAAAGAGGACAATTTTAGGATATATACATACTAAAATGAAAAGTATTATTAATTATTATTATTAAAAAAAATAAATATGTACTTACGATGAGTACTCGAGGAAGTGCATACTCACGTGTTCGTTCTTATAACCCAAAATATACATATTTCAAAATTACTCACCACTTGTATAATTTAAATCTCTGGCTATCTTCTCCCACAACTCATTTTTTAATTTTGTTCTCATATAATCCTCATGTGAAGTGTCATACAACACAGGATTCTCCCGAACCAGTTCGATCAATTTCTCCATTTTGAATTGAAAAACGTAAACAAAGTGACCCACGATTCCACGAAACTGTGTTGCTCGCACAAATCAAACCACGTGGGAATAGGCTGGGACTGTGCTAGGCGTGGGATGGGTGCAATATGCGTCAGTTCGTCTACAACAGTGTTTTACAAAATCACCCACGCGTGGGCTGTGCGTGTGCTACGCGTGGCATGGGTTCAATATGCGCCGGGCCTAACCATCGTTGATCCCACGTTCCTTTTTGTAGGTAACTAATACTATACAGGGTGTTTCAGTTTATTGTTGCATAACTTTAAGATTCGATAGAACTTTTAAAATTAATGCATAAAGTCTATATAAACATGGGTAGAAAATGCGTGGCTTCCAAAATACAGGGTGTTTAAATTTACTTTCTAAAATAGTTTTTTTTAAATATTTCGAACAATATTTGATGTATAACAGTGAAAATTGGTATACAAGGGCATAGTTTTACTGTAGCCGCTAGAGGGCGCTCTCTACTGTACCTGTAGTGTATTAAAATGAACTAAATTTTTTTCTTAGTACAATTTTTTGCTTTTTGAATAAAAAAACTGATTCGTCGCACTTTTCAACATAAAAAAGCTCTCTTGTGAATTTTCGTTATAGTTAGCCGTTTTTGAGATATTTCGATTTTTAAGGTTCGATGCATTTTTAATTATTTATGATAAAATAACGTTAAAAAGTCAGTATCTCAATAATTTTTAGAAGTAGGCTGTACCTGCAAACATTTTTGAAATTGAAAGCAGAATAAGGTTAAACGTCAATTAGTTGACAGTTAGTTTTGTTGTCTGTTGAAACCTGAAACGTTTTTTTGCAATTGTGAATGCACGAAATTTAGTTTCTTTTACCTATTTTTTTTTGTAAGTTTTATAAAAATGCCATTTTTATTCTCCAATCAAGAGTTAGCTGATATTCATTTTGTGTATGGCTTTGTAAATGGAAACGCAGCAGAAGCAGCCAGAGAATACGCACGAAGATTTCCAAACAGACGACATCCAACTCTCTCAGTATTTATAAGAGTGCATCGCCAAATAATTGAAAATGGTTTTGGAAATCTCGAAAGAGATCAAAACAGAAATGTTCGTCAGCGCAGATTTACCCGTATGATGCTGCGTGAGTTTGATAGAGATCCGACCACAAGTGTTAGGAGAGTTTCTGGTGCCTTTGGAATTTCAGCAAGCCATGTTCACCGTGTTCTTAGAAATGACCATAGACGTCCTTACCATTTGCAACCTGTGCAAAGACTACAGCCAGGGGACCCAGAACGAAGAATCACATTTTGTCAGTGGATTCTTGATAGAATAATAGGGTTTTTAAGTAACGTTTTATGGGCCGATGAGTCATGCTTCACTAGACGTGGAGTGGTAAATTTTCATAATCAACATATTTGGTCGCATGAAAATCCGCATACAGTTCGGGAAAGAAATTTTCAGCATGAATTTAGTGTGAACGTGTGGATTGGTATCTACCGTAATCGACTATTTGGACTTTTGCCTGCAAGGTTAAATGCTGCGACCTTCTTGGAATTTTTAAAGGCTGAACATGCAAATATGTGGGATGATGTTATGTTAGATTTAAAAAGATTGGCCTGGTTCCAGCTTGATGGTTGTCCAGCTCATTATTCGAGAATCGTTAGAAACTGGCTGGACAAAAATTATCCAGAAAGATGGATCGGCCGTGGAGGACCAGTCGCCTGGCATCCACGATCCCCTGACCTAAATCCATTAGATTTCTTTGTTTGGGGATTTCTAAACGAAAAAGTGTACCAGACTCCCGTAACCACAAGAGATATGCTAATAGACAGAATCAGGAATGCATGTGATGAAATAAGGCCTTATTTGAATAATGCTATACTACGTTCGATCATTCGTAGATGTGAATTGTGTATTGAACAATTGGGTTTACATTTCGAGCAACTACTTTAGATTTTCTTTTGTGTTTATTTGGAGTTAGGAATTATTGCTGTGTTTAAAAACACAATCTAAACGATCATCTTAATTACTTGTAATGCCCAAATCGAAAATGTAAAAAACATATTATTTTCCCATAAATAATTAAAAATGCATCGAACCTTAGAAATCGAAATATCTCAAAAACGGCTAACTATAACGAAAACTCACAGGAGGATTTTTTTATGTTGAAAAGTACGAAGAATCAGTTTTTTTATTCAAAAAGCAAACAATTGCATTAAGAAAAAATTTCGGTCATTTTAATACACTACAGGTACAGTAGAGAGCGCCCTCTAGCGGCTACAGTAAAACTATGCCCATGGATCGTTTTGTCGTACCAAAAAACCCTTGTACACCAATTTTCACTGTTATACATCAAATATTGTTCGAAATAAGTGATAAGTGTTATATTCTAAGTTTTTTTTTTCTCTCTCTCTCTATAGTTTGTGTCAATGTTTTCCAGGTCGGGTTGAAAAACAGCATAAGCTGACACTCCACCTTTTCGTCACTGTTCCTTTTAAATCAATTATTTTGTAATCGTGTGACGAATAAAGGCCATTTATTATTATTATTATTATTATTATTTAAAAAAAAAACTATTTTAGAAAGTAAATTTAAACACCCTGTATTTCGGAAGCCACGCAGTTTTCGACCCATGTTTATATATACTTTATGCATTAATTTTAAAAGTTCTATCGAATCTTAAAGTTATGCAACAATAAACTGAAACACCCTGTATATACATGGTTACTAAAAATTAAAATGCTTCAAATGCGGTTCAAATGATAGGCGTCATTCATACGGATTCTGGGTCGCTAAAACGGAATCCGAAGACACTTGAAACTGATACACGAATAACAAATTGCAATTCGGATATACAAGTAAGTACCTGCACATGTCAAGCTCCATGCATTCAATTTGAAAATCTATCGTTAGTGGCATGTACTGCACACGACTCAATAATGTAAAAGCAATTTAAACCTGCGGCAGGTCATTTAAGGGGCACAGGATTTTGCAGAAATACAATATTATTTCAGATTTCAACGTGCTCGGCTTGTAAACTGAAACACAATAACGCACTTTACCCTCGAGATTACCTTTTGTCGAGAACCGGCCAGCTGTACAGCACCTCTCAAATGGCATGGGTTATTTTACTTGTTTCTTGGTATACCGCACCTAAATGTTGGTTTCGCTACTAAACTACCTGCTTTTAACAAACTATTTGTTTTGCTTGAGAGGATATTAATCAAGGGCGGAATAATATTGGCTCTATTCTACCGCTATGTCAACGGGCTTTGCTCCAGTAAGACAGACCAGCCTGACTTCGGCCTCCCATCCTAACAGTGTCGAATTTCGTACATCTAGAGCTGGCCGGTTAGACCGCTCCTTTGTCAATAGGAATCCGAAAGTGCGGAACAATATGCGCTTTTCCAATCAATACGTGGCGTCCCAACGAAAATGGAAAGTATTGAGATATCGAAAAACTGTTTTCTTGGCAACCCTGTCATACGAGGGATGTCTTTTAAGTTTTGCATATCGAAATAAAACAACACGGTAGGTAGTTTTAAATGACTTTATTGTTTTTCGAAGTATTCTTCACGAATATTAATACACATCTGCATGCGCTCGAACCAATTTTCGAAGCACTTATTCCACTCGTTTGCTGGCAGATCCAAGACAGCATCGACGTTTTCCTGGGTGACTGCCCTGGAATCGTCGCTAAGACTCACCTGTCCACGTTTGAATTCTCTATACCAACGGGAAATTATCGACTGATGTGGCGCTTCGTTGCCGAAAACGGACAGTAACTCAGCAAGGCATTCTGGTTGCGATAATTGTCTTTGAAAGTTGTAATAATTATGGCGCGAAAATGTTCTCGGGAGTACCATTTTTCTAATGACTTGGTGACACTTAAAAATTCATTGTAGGGAGAACACTGTACGTATTGTTGTGAAACTTTGAATTTAAGTTTACTAAAGAGTAAGGTTAAGATTCAGTACTGACGTAATATATACAGCGCGATCCATAGCCTAATACTATAGAAAACATTTTTTTTTAAAAAAAAACCCCTTACATATATTTTATTGCATATTTAGGTATAGTTACTAAACTTAAATGACTCAAAACTCCATTTGTGAAAATACTTAGATAAAATTTAGATAAAAAAATTTTTATTAGCATCAATTTTAAACTGATCTGAAAGGACTGCTAAAATTTCATTCTATCTGAATACAGCGAGTCCCAAAATGCAAAAGGTACATTTTCTCAAAATTACAAATTAAAAATCCTGTATATTTCTACGTCATTAAATTGCTTTGTTGATGAACTGTTTTTGATATAGTTTCTAAATCTAAATACACTGGGTGTCACGACTTGGTTCTGGAATGGATAGATTGCTATTTAAATGAACGACATCAATATGTCGTCATACAAAATAAACTTTCAGACAAGAGCCCGATTTGTTCCGGCGTGCCTCAGGGATCCATATTAGGTCCACTTTTATTCCTTATATACACCTTTGACATTTCTAACACCCTTCAACATTGTTCTAGTCAATCATATGCTGATGATATGCAGGTTTTTCATAATTTCTGTCCGAACAACTACCATTTAGCTAACAACCTTATCAATCAAGATCTACAATACTTATGCACATATGCTGCAAAACATAATTTACATCAAAATGCATCGAAATCGACAGTTATACTTTTTTGCTCCAAGAAAAAACGTACTTTCCTCAAATCAAAGTTAAATTTATCACTAAATAATAGTATCCTAATATTTTCCCATTCTGCAAAAAATTTAGTTTTGTACTTGGATGAAGATTTCAGATTTCAGGAGCATGTTGGCGATGTGTGTAAGTCTAGTTATTTTAGACTCAGGCTTCTATATGCAAGTAAAACTGTTTTAAATAGAAAAATTAAGAAAATGTTATGCGAGTCACTCATACTCAGTAAAATCGCTTACCTGCAACATAGTTTATTATCCCTGTCTGGATGAAATCACAAAATACAGACTGCAAACAATTCAAAACTCATGTAGTCGTTACATACTTAAACAATTTAAAAAGGTACGATCATGTTTCTCACTCAATATCTTCAATAAATTGG